ATAAAAAAAAGTGTCTCACACGGCTCCGGGGGGTGAACAAAGGCCTCCTGTAGCATATTTAAAAAGTAATAATCATTTTAATCTAGCTTGCGCTCACTGCTGTAAACGGAAGCCATTCCGGGCGGATGACGTATGAGGTCGGCTTTGCACATGCAAATTAATCTCGTTGGATTTTTTTGATTTTGTAAGGACAAGAAACCCAAGCAAGAACACCATGATGGCTCTGGGAATCTCCAATATTTTCTTCATGCTGCCATGGCAGTTTGCTCAGTTTGTTCTACTTACTCAGGTGAGTGGTGGAAGAGATGACAAGATCATAAGCTTGCTGACCCAAACACTTGTGTTTTATGCTGATATTTGAAGAAAGTACAGAAAGCAGCTGAATGTAGCATTTAGCTTCTGCAACCTTTCATCCTTAAACATCCACTGATAAGAGTTTGACTGAAATACACTAGTTTTCAAAAGTTTGGGATCAGTAAGATTTTTTAAATGTTTTTGAAATAAGTCTCTTACACTCACCAAGGCTGTATTTATTTGATCAAAATTATAGTAAAAACAGTAACTGTGAAATATTTTTACAATTTAAAATACCTTTTCTATTTGAATGTGTTTTAAAATGTAATTTATTCCTGTAATGGCAAAGTTGATTTTTCTCATATTTTCAGCAGAAATTAGAAATCATTCTCAAATGCTGATTTGGATCTCTCATTTCTTGTTAATATGAATGCTGAAAACATTTGTGCTGCTTAATATTTTTGTGGAAACTGCGATAATTTTTTTCATGAATAGAAATGTCAAAATAACAGTTCATTTGAAATAGAAATCTTTTGTTCCATGTTTACTGTTTCTTTTGATCAATTTAATGCATTCTTGCTGAATAAAAGTATTAATTTCTTCTTTCAAAAAAAATCTGACCCCAAATTTTTGAACAGTGTTGATAGTTTCCTAATAGAAATGTAATACAGTTCACCTCCAGAGTCATTTGTAATTATATTTTGCCTGAAGAAAACCTACCGTAGATCAGCCTAACATGATTGCATGTCTCAGGAATATTGTGCAATACACTTTTCAATTTCATCTGCTATGAGAAAATTGTTTTGCGGCAAGATAGCAAAGGATGCTATGACAAAAATGTTTGTGTGTTTTATAGGTGGCATCACTTTTTGCTTCATACATCTTGGGATATCTGAGTCCGGCAAAAATGCAGTCTGTCTTAGTGACACACATGGTAATGTAACATAATCTAGACTTGACTGATGGAGCCACAATATTGCTCATGTTGTCTTTCTGATCCACTGATGAACTGACTGCTCCTCACAGATCTCCTTGGCTGTCTGCTTTCTTCTGATGTTCGGGAACTCGATGCTGCTGACGTCCTTCTACGCCTCTTCACTGGTCTCCATCTGGGTGAGTTGGACAGAGTAAGGGCTCATTTGCTGCTTGCTCAGGAAAGCACACAAGGAGGTATAATCGGTTTCTAGGACACCAGAAGCTGATATGATGAATGTTGTCTCGTGTAGAAAATGCTGGCACAATAGTGCCATAGTCTGGCCAAATAAATATCCATGAGTAAGTACAAAGTACATACAAATAGGTGACCTCAAACACAAACATACTGTGAAGAAACATGTCTGCTTTAATTTCAGGGGGTAATTGCACTCAGGGATCGTTTGGTCGGTATATTCAAACCTGGACTCTTCACATGGGTAAGAGCACCAGTATTGACTAATGCATCAGTAAAATGTGCCTGAATTGACTACCAAAAAACAATTGTGTTTTTGTTAGGTCATGCAGTGCCTTGCATGGGTGGTCTCCACTGTCATTCTGAAGTTCATGCTCTCAGTGATTTTTGGGGCATCAGATGATGTGAGTAAAACGAGAGCAGTGCTGTTTTCTCTTGCTGTGAACATCAGTTAGCTTTAGCTTCAGGGGTCTGTTAAACAGTTCGTAGGGCTTTTGACATTTTCGTTTTGTTTTGAAATATAGGCCCATATCAGCAGTCTGATCAAATCCAAGTTCACAAGCTACAAAGACTTTGACACAATGATGTACACGTGTGCAGCTGAGTTTGACTTCATCGAAACGGAGGTGGGTAATGTGATCTATTTCCTTACAATCAGTCATCCGTTTCTCCTTTTTTCATTGTACTTGATTTGTTTGCAGACTCTCATCCGGTACATCAAAACCATGCTGCTTCCAGTTAACGTGCTGATTGTGGGTTTTATTGCTGGAAGGGTGAGTTGTTTTCACTTAGATAATGGATGATTTCCCTCTCTTACAATTTGGTATGCGTGTCCTGCTTTTATCTGTTTGCACCAATATTCTAGGTTTAAAGTTTTCTGTCAGTTTGGTGTTTATCAGTTGGTTTAGAGTTTAGCCTTTTCTCATAAGCGTAAGGAAATATACATACTAAAGTTCCCTCCTTTTGCTTCCTGAGTACAGACTATACAGGACATGATTGGGTTCCTCAGAAATGAGAAGACTGAAAAGTCAGAGGATGATGAAATGGAGCAGTAAGTATTCTATACATCTTCAGCACTTCATTGGCATGCTTGATTTGAACAGTGAACAGAAAATATGTGAAAAAAATGTTACATAAAAGGAAAATAAATTACACAGTAAAGTAAAAAATGTGTAAAATAGATTTATTCAGTTTTATTCTACAATTTTTTTTTAAAGATAACACTACCATTAAGAAGTCTCTTATGCTCACCAAGGCTGAATTTATTTGATCAAATTACAGAAATGATGTGAAATATTATTAGTTTAATATAACTAATATATGATTTTTAAATCTAACCTATTCTTGTGATGGTAAAGCTTAATTTTCAGCAGCCATTACAACAGTCTTCACTTCAGAAATTATTTTATTATGCTGATTTGCTGCTCACAAAACATTTCTTATCAAATTTATTATAAACCGTTGTACTGCTTAATATTTTTTGGAAGCCATGGTAGATTTTTTTAGGATTCTTTGATGAATAGAAAGTTTGAAAGAACAGAATTTGTTTGAAATAGAATCTTTTGTAACTTTATACTTTTATGCAATTTACTATTTACTATTATTATTTTTTTACCTTCCTTTCTTTCCCCTAACTTTTAAACAGTAGAATATATTTACATTTCTTTGGATAATATAAATAATTTAAACTTTGCTCTTCCATTTTTCAGAACCCAGATGTTGGCAAAGGGAGTGGTAAGATGCTTTAGTTTTGTTATGTATAGCTTTTTATGATTCAAGCTTTTTGTTTTTGTTATATATATTTTTTTCCTCCTGAATTGATATATATATAAAGAAATGCATGTGACCCATGGCATACACGTTGATATCCAGAGGCTGTGTTTATCTTGTGATGTGTGTCTAGCTGGTTTATCACAGTCTGCAGCTGGTGGCGTTTGCAGTGCTGGCTGTGCTCATCATGAGACTGAAGCTCTTCCTCACTCCTCACATGTGCATCATGTCCTGTTTGATCTGCTCCAGACAGGTGACTGACCATTCACGCTCGATCGCTCACCCCTAAATCTCCATATTACAAGGAAGCTGATTTGAGCAAAAGCTTTTAAATGAAATGAAAATGTTTTGATTTCATCTGCAGCTGTTCGGCTGGGTAGGAGAGAAGTTTAAACTCCAGTTGACAGTCGTGGGAATATTGTCCATCATGGCAGTCCAAGGAGTCGCCAACCTGCAGAGTCAATGGGACATCATAGGAGAATTCAGTAACTTCCCTCAGGAAGAGCTCCTGGAGTGGATCAAGGACAACACAAGGCCTAGTGAGAAGCTTTTGCTGTTCAACTGCACAAAATGAAACATCTCACTTCATGTGACCAGTGTCTGACTCCTGCATCCATGCAATATTCCTGTAGATGCTGTGTTTGCTGGTGCAATGCCCACCATGGCGAGTGTGAAACTGTCCACAGGAAGAGCCATAGTGAACCACCCGCACTATGAAGACGCAGGATTGAGGTAGACACGATTTAACATACATTTTATAGGTACTTATCCTAATTTTGAATCCTTTAATAATGTTCTGTTATTGTAAAGAGTTTGATTTCATTGTGTTCTTATTCAGAGAAAGAACAAAGATGGTATATGCCATGTACAGCCGAAAACCAGCTGAGGTAGTGAAGCAAAACTTAATAAAGCTGCAGGTGGACTATTTCATCTTAGAGGACTCGTGGTGCACCAGACGCTCCAAGTAAATGCCGCATACTTTGAATTAATACCGCTGTATGATCATTTCTTTTATCTCACATGTGTTTCTTCTTCATCTCCAGGCCCGGTTGCAGCATGCCTGAGATCTGGGACGTGGAGGATGCCCAGAATGCAGGAAAAGTGCCACTTTGCACTGTCATGTGGCGGGATTCACGTCCTCACTTCTCCACTATCTTTCACAACAACATTTACAAAGTCCTTCGAGTTCCCAAAACAGTGAGAGATATGAGATAACAGCAGTTTTTCCATCGCCTTACTGTTTTCCTGTCTTTGACGTGTGTGTGTGTGTGTGTATATACACAGCATTGATTATTTTTTGTGAAGGTCAGATGTGTTTTTCTTGAGCCTGCTTCTGCCACTTTGGTGTCCGTTTTGTTTTGATAAGCTGTAAGAGATGTTTAAACCGCAGTGAGAGTCAATCAGTATTGAATCACCCCTTTTCACTTAATGGAATAGTTCACCTAAAAATGAAATTTTCTGAAAATGTACTTACCTTCAGGTCATCCCAAGATGTAGATGAGTTTGTTTTTTCATCAGAACAGATTTGTCCAAACGCATACTCATTCTGACGGCACCCATTCACTCACTGCAGAGTATATATATATATATCTATATATATAGATATCAAATTGACAATTGCTCTGTTTGCAAAAAAAGGTCAACATCTGTAGCCTTTAAAATGTTTTTGGCATGAACAAAATAGCACAAAAAGACAACTTTTTTGTCCAGTGTAAAATTAAAAGACATTTCTCATAAAATGAAAAGTAAAAAAGAGGACATGTGATTCAAAAAAAAAAAAAACAGAAGTGTGGGGAAAGAGTGCAAAGTTTCCTGAGACTGCTCTAGATTAAATAAATTGTTGTCAGGCCTACAGCCGCGATGGCAAGCTTACCTAAAGTGCACATTAACACCAGTAACAGAAGAGGAAAGAAATGACAGGCCAACAACACTGCAGCAGTCCTTCTGCCCCATCATGCCTCTGCATCGCCTACTTAACCATTAAATCACCGTTAATAAATTAGTTGATTAACACATTGTAAAAATTATAAGTACTAACAATACAAAATTCTATTTTATAACACTAAAAAAGAGAAACAATAAAAACACATGAAAAAAATGTGAGGGAAAACTTTAACACAATCTGGAGCAATTTACATTACTCAAGTTTGAATTCTCTGACCTGCTATTTACTTTCAGAGTGACTGCAAGAACTGATCTCACTTTGTTCTCAATTTGTGCTATCCGACTGTTCTAATATAGTATTTGTACATAAATCAAGTAATCTGTCAGACCGTCAATGGGAATGACATTGTTACAATTGAAGTACAATAATAATAATTTACTTTGTATTTTTATTCATATTTCAATGTCCTTCATGTGACATTTTGAAGTGTTCGCTTTGCACACTCTTTTTCCAGTAGTTTGGAAGGTCAGTCACGCAGCCTAATGTCACCAACTTTGGTCTCAATGAGGCATTTTCTCATATATGCATTTATTTATAAAAAAAAAAAAAAATAGCACTCTGCAACAAACAGCATTTTAATGTACTTAAAGAAAAACATCCAGGTGATGATCTGAAAACTGGTACCGTGAGAAACAGGATTTTGGCATGTAAAACTAATTCTAAAAGACTTTGTCTTCATATCTATCTTGAAAAAATTAAATGACAAAATGAAGTAAAAATATGAAACCTACTGGTCTGAGCTCTTCATAACATTCCCTACAGTATATGTCTGAAATCATGGTGCTTTATTCATATTAAAAACAAAATGTACAAAATAAAAAGGTTTGTTGGTTTGATTAAAAATAGAAACTTAGATAAATATACCTGGAAGTCATTTCTCAGCCCTCTATCGGGCATCTCTACCTTTGGCTTGACTTGAGCAGGTTGGTAGGGCACACAGAACAGAGCAACACCGTTCCAGACTAGAGGACTCTGGGAAGGGCCCTGCAAGTGTCCACAGTGAGCTCTCAAAGTCTGTCTATCATAATGATGTCTCTGTATCCACACATTTATCCCCCTGCTCGTCTTCCGCATTGATCTTAATACTAACCGTCTTCTCTTCACTGTAAAACAAAGACAGAAGATTAAGGAAAAATTTACTCAAAGCAGACGCCCAGCAACATTTTTCTAAATGTTAATATCGCCATACTTCGCAACACACAGTATCACATTCAATGAAGCGCAAACAACATGTCATACATAAGGAAATATTCAAAAGCAAATCCAGCACACACACTTTTCACAGGCATTGGTTATAAACAATGGATTGAGGCCTGGTCACATGACGATAAATAAAAATAAGATAAATAAAATAACCAAACTAATAACTTTTATAAAATAGACATTTTTATTTAAAATATACTTTTATAAAATAAATAATATAATTTTTTATAAAGTTTTTTTTTATAATGTTATTTTTTCCTTTATGCCAAAAAAAAAAGTTCATATAAACTAATAATAACCTTTATAAATATACAAATTATATATATTTAGAAAAATATACTTTTATAAAATACATAAACAATTTTATTGTAGGGTGTTTTATATATATATATATATATACTTTTGTATATTTACATTGTGTCAA